GAGCTCGAGCCTAACCTCGATTCTCTGCTGATACAGTCTGTGGGTGGGAACGCTCTGAACGCTCAAACCGAGAGAAAAAGACAACATCAATTCGCACAAGCTGATGCACTCGGGAGCCCAAATTGCCCGTGACACACCTGGAAAATTCCCTTTCTTCACGACGTGACACTTCACCCGCCGTCTCCCTTGGGTGGCGGTTGATCAGTCACAAAAACAAACAGGGGTAAAGTGTTAAGGAGCGGCGTGTCATAACAGCATGTGAAGACTCTTAGCACCATTTTCAGCTAAAAATATCCATTATCCTCCACCTTCACTTCTCACCAGGAAAAAGACTACGAGAAACATGAAATAAAGATTACATTTTAACTAGCAGCGCGCACACACACACACACACACACACACACACACACACACACACACACACACACACATGCACACACATCCCGCAGAGCTGTTGTCAGCCTGGATTTACAAAATAAGACAAGTCGGGCTTTGCAGGCAGCCAGTGGTTGTCACATAGGACTAGGTGACTGTTGGTTGGAGCTATTTTGATGCTGTTCACATGTTATTTACATCACACACCCTCCTGTCATGCGCTGTTCCCAGCATGTCTCCCGTGTGCGCATATGTCTTCGTTTTTGCGCGTGTGCGGCCGTGTGTTCCTGTGTGTCTCCCTGACGTCCCATCATCCCAAATAATCATCCCACAGTCATGCGTGAGATGCGATTTCCTTTGAACAATAGCAGGCCAGCTCGCCTTGCTGACCCCCCAACCTCTCAGGCTGCCGCCGAACAAACACTGGCGTGTGCGCACGGACGGACTACACATCCTCTCAGCTCGCAATAACAGCAACACATGCACACTTAAATACGCACACAGCCTCCACAGCTCAGCCTCCATCAGTGTAGCAGTGATGACACGGTCTCTTTATGTTGCTGCTCATTTAACTGCCTTCTGGAGCGGACTTTAATAACTGGGGCCAACCGCTTGTCAGTGCTGCTATTCTAGCCTGAACTTAACTATTGGATAGCGGGAAGGACACAAACTAATGCTAATGATTTCCCTGCCAGGAGAGAAAAAGAGGGACGCTACTGTGAATGCCCCAGACCTGTCTTTAACAGCAATGGTTGTAATTTCATTGAAGGAAGGGAGAGTTTGGTTGGCCTACTTTGGGCGCCAGGGATAATTCAGCTCCTTCCTGCCTTGTTAGCCAAACGCAGTCCATCACTGCGGCGGGATATCGATTCAGATTGTGTGGTTTACAGACTACAACGCAGTCTCTAGATTTCACATAAATATATTTTTTGGCACGCATAATAATCATTTTAATTTGGCTCCAGCATTCAGTCGTTTAGTGCGCATCAATCACGTGTTGAACAAGTGTTGCTCCTGGTCATGCCATGTTTTAACTTGATGGACGAACATTTCCACCTTGAAACTGTAAATATGTCTCAAAACATGGGTATAGACGTCTGAGGGTTCATACAAAACAAACCAAAGGAATCAATCCTGTCTGCTTGCAGAGGGGGGACTTTCTTTATCATTAAACTTCTTAAGAATCAGTTTCCAGTTTTCCAGTTCCAGTTTAGGGGTATGATTCTCGCTTGGGGTGCGAGAGGTCCGGGGTTCGAATCCCGGACAAGGCCCCATTTGTCATGACCTGGCTCAGGAGGTCACAACAAAAAACAAAACACCATGATAAATGTTTAAATAATTCTTTATTAAATCAAATTAGACCAAATTAAATAGCTAAATCAAACATTTAAAGAAGAGGATGTGACAATCAGTAAGTCAGTTGTGTATGTGTGTGATGGTGTTGTAAGGTGAAAACACAACAAAAGGCAAAATTAGAACAGCATGAATGAACAAACCAAACCTTGGTGTACCTGTGGAGAAAGCCAGAATACAGAGAGAGAGTTGGAGCAACTGCAGGACTTCAGTAACGTCATCACACTGGGTCCAGGTGTGCTGAGTTACTCCAATCAAGCCACTGCAAATGAGAGACAGGTTAGGGACACACCTCCAAGATGACAACAGCAGCAAAGACACCCCTCTGGTGATCCCACAGGGCATCACAAACATGTACACCTGAATTACATCGATGTTACAACTTGCGGTGTGCAAAGTTGTTTCACAGCGTCCGAGCAGAGTTACAGGTGAGCTGGTGTGCTCGCGATGCAGCCATAGGTGGAAGGATGGCTGGAAAACAAGGCATGGACTTCATACATCTGCACATTCTGGAGGAGGCAACAGTGTTTAGTTACATTTAATCCATTTTAATGCAAACTGGGATTGTTTGCATGGAAAAGTAAAACTTTGATAAACTGAGTTGAACTTTTAGGGGTTTAATTAATGACTAGAAAACTGACTTTTAAGTCAAAGTACAAAAGTAAAAGTACTTGTTCTGCAGAAAAAAAGGCCCCCTGTGACCATTTAGAATTAATCATTATGTTATCAGGTCACTGGAGTAAATATGCAAGACAATGTTTACTCTGATGGCAAATTAAACCAGAGAAATGGTGAGATAGTTATTGGGCTAATAAATACTAAAAAAACTAAATGTGGAGATGGATACTAGGGTTTATTTTAAAAACACTAATGTTGATTCTGATTTGACATCTTTTGACCTTATTTAAATGGAGCAGTGTGAGAAGTTATGTGGAAAAAATGCCTCTGTTTTTTAGCAATTAATTACAAGTCTTTGCAGATTCTTAGTCACTGGGGTCATAGTAATCTAAATGCTTCAACAGAAGGTAACCAGATTTCTTGTTTTGTTCAAGAACATCGTTTCAAGAAACAAAATAAAAGCCTGTCTGTCTTCTTGTGAAGCACTTAGAATTGATCCAAAGCCCAAAAAGTTAGGAACCAACGGTTTAACCTTTAACAATGCATTGTATTTTACGAGTTTATTATGATGTTTTTTAAAGTCAAATTACCATAATGGCTTTTCAAAACATGTCGTGCAGTACAAAGAGCAACACTGCCGACCGAAACGTGGCGGTGTGAAAGTATACATAGAGGATTCAAATGCGGTACGTGTTCTTCAAAGCTGAACTTAAGCACAGCAGTGAGTAAATGTACTTAACTAATTGCGTTCCAATGCTGAGACACTATCAAAGTCCTTTTTGTTCCAAATTATGCACAGCTTTAAATGCAAAACTGAATGGCCTCCTTCAGTCTGCATAAAACAGCAACTGTACACACGTACATTCAGTGATTATCCTAAATTAAATTCCACTTCCACGCAGGTCTTATCACTTAAATTGACGGAGCGATCGCTGTTAGCATTTCATCATGCTACGGGAATGTGACTCAGTGCAGCAGGTGTCCTTTGAAGAGACGGAAATAAACATTCATCCTGCATAAAAATGCAGCTCTTTTAATAAATCCTTGGTAGCTTCACAATCACCAATCACACACACACACACAGATTCATGTAGCTACTTTCAGCGTGCAACTGCTTTCATCTGAGCTTTTGTAGGAGGATGCTCAGAAACAGGTGGATGAATGAATTTCTTTACTTCTACCAATAAACATGCTTTATTTGGCTGCTCTGTGTATGTAACATAGCTGCTCAAGAACACATTTCTTTCTATACACAGGTGATTCTGACTTTGTGACAGGTCTTAGCATCTCAGGAAAATGTTGCCACACAAACACTGAATCGTCTGAGGATTGCTCCAGAGTGTCAGGTGACTGAGGTGAAAGAGACAAACAACGATAAAATCACATAATGACTGAAAATGTCATCTTGACATTTGATTCTTTGAGCCGGGGGAAGTGGTCGAAGGCGTTCGGTATCTCCTGTACGCAGGGCCTATTGGTCATGATGAAGAGCGTGGTATGTGACGTGAAGTCAGTCGCTTATCTGTGCAAATGGGAAATGATTTCACTCTGTCACTGAAGCTGTCATTCTCACTGTAATGACAGATGCTATACGTTTTTGCATGCAATAATAGAATAGAATAGAATACTGATCCCCCATTGGGGGAAATGTACACGCCACAGCAGCATGCAAAAATATAGAAAGTCCACGAAAATAACAATAATTAAGTAAAATGCATCCCCGGTGTCTGCACACAGCAGGTCCAAGGCCCCACCGTCCTCCAGTTGGGCAGTCCACATACTGGCTGAATGTGGTAGAGAGCGATGTATGATTAAAGTCTCCTGAGATGATGATCAGAGACTGGGGGTGTGATGTTTGCAGCTGGGACGCTGCACTATGGATATAAAGCTATATGCATGCAGTTTATGCAGCTCTGAATCATGAAATCCTTCAAAAACTTTAATTATATCAGGTTGGGTCACACATAAAATTAGTAAAATTCCACATTTCGTCTTTGTTTTTGAATATTTATTGAGGAAACAGTTGGTGAAATCAGCTGAAGGATGTGGTCAGGGAAGGAAAACCCTCCAACAGCCAGACTCAGTCAACAGTCACTGTAACACAAAGCTGCCGACAGGAGCTGCACTGCGCCACAAGCGTGCTCTTAAAACCCATCTGGGGAAATTATAGATCAGACCAGTGTGTCATCCCTCTGTTGCTTCTGTGGCGTGTGACCTCACTGGCAGCAGTTAATGAGGTAGTCAGCGAGCTGAAGGGAGCAATATGCTGGATCTACAGAGAAAGATCACACGGCACATCAAGCAGCCAAGCAGCGGCGACGAGTCCCCTCAATCACACACTAATTCCACCTCTGCAGCCAAGTGACGGATGACTTCAAGAAATCACATTTTGAAGGTCAACTAGGTGGGATTCAGAAAGAAAAAGAAAAGAAAAGGGAAAAAAAGAAATACATTTGTGCCATTTCAAGAAAAGCTCACGTTTAACTCAGACCTCGGTGGCTGCAGAAGGTTAATTGAAGGAAGCGATGAGGAAGGAGGCGAGGTTGATAACTTCATATTGGAACGCGTCCCGCAGAGGGAACGCAGCCTTTCATCCTCCGTTGTTTCCTCCGCAGTGACTGCTCTCCCCGGTACCGTTACACATCCTGACAGAGATGCTGTCTGCTCTTCGGTCCTATCTTCTGCCGGCTGCCAGGCTGTACCTGCTGGGTTTGAAGGTCCTGTTGGTCCAGCTGTTCAGCGGACCGCTGAGGCTGCCAGGTCGGTTCAACTCTCCTCCAAGTCGCTGCTTCTCCTGACGCTAAGTCGACAAGTTGTGTGTCGCTCCCACTCACGCCTCACTTGCACAGTTTGTGGGTAGCAAACGTTGCCACTCTGTAGTTACACGACTTATTGTTCGTTAGTGTATTTCTGAGCCGTCATTCCTCCTCGCTGTGAGCTGTCACCGTGTTGCACTTAAATGCTAAGCTAACAATGTTAGCTAGTTTGACAGAAGCTCGAAACGTGAGCTAAATAAAGACTTGTGTGGCGTCAAGTCTACGCCGAATTCACCAGAATAACTTCACAGATCACCACGACCTCAAAGTATGTTCGCCAAAGCGCCTACGTTTGTCGCCAAGCGGTGTGAGTTTAAATTGGTATTTTTTAGAATGGAGTTTGGCCTGAAACGCGCCTCAGTACAACCCACTAATGAAGATCAAAGGAACACAGTAAACTGCTAAAGTAAAGTGCAGTGCAGTAACTAAATCGATGCCTATCTGTTGACATATCCATGCTTTCTATAGAGATATTGTGACGTTTTGTTTATTGTTTGATTAAACAATAATGCAAAACAATTGTGCAAGACTTTGATAACAAACAAACCTGACCCCTGGCTTGACCTTTAGCAATGCATTGTATTTATTAAGGTTGTTATTATGTTTTTTTTGTTGTTTAAGCAAAGTCTTATAATAAAACAGTTAGCAACAATAGCTGTCAAAACCCACTGAAAGCTCATACTGTATATTATCCATACATGAAAAAGTGAATTCCTACCACACACAATAAAATGATCAGCTTTATTCAGTGAAGATTAGATCTGGTCATAGCTGCAAGAGCCTATGAGAAAATAAAACAAACACAAGTTCAGACTCATGTGTCTTCTATGTGTGTTTTGGTTTCCTGTTTAAAATGAACACATGAATGCTTGTGCAATACACACAGTTCCCACCATAGAGGTTTCACCGTACTGTTGATATATAGAGTAATACACTCCTGTTCAATAGCATTAAAATCTTATTTAGAAAAAAATAGTGGCATTATTTCTAAGCTAACAAGGAGAATATTCGCTCTAATGAATGAATGGATTTTAAAACGACTACATTGGAAAGTGGAAACTCAATGCAACAAAAGTGAATATACTGTGATCACTGACAGACCAGTTAGAAAATATAGGATCAGTGAAGCAAAACTAAGGGCACATGTGCTTTTTATTTTATTTTTTCCAACTTAGGCTAAATGGTTATGAAATGAGGTGTGAATGCAGGAAGTTTCTCAGTTTTGGACATGTGAGTTGTGTCTACCTGCGTATCAATATTCAATGTATCAGTGGGATAGATAGGCTATATATATATTTTTTTTAAAAAACTTCCATGAAAACACTGCTCACGACGCTCTTTAAGAAAGTCAGGGAAAATCTGCTATGTGGTGCCACAAGAATGTAAAAACCCACATGAAATCTCAGAAAGTCTACATGTCTAACTACAAGCACTTCTCATCTCTTGAAATATCGGCCCTTCTTAAAGAAGCTTTCATCTAAAAATGACATTCTCTCTCTTCTGCCAGTGATGCCCAGACAAGATGGCAAGGTTGCCATAGTGACAGGAGGAGGCAGGGGAATCGGCTATGAGGTTGTCCGCCACATGGCCAGACTGGGGGCGCATGTTATCATAGGTACAGTATCAAGCACCACACCACTGGCATGCAATGAGGACAGGAGGGACGGCCTTTTAACTCGCATGAGGAGACCTCCCAGAAGGCTGGCTCGCATTTGTTTACACTCAGATTTACAAAAACAACAACACTAGCAATATAACGGTAACCATTCGTGCTTTGCAATACAATATTTAACTTAAAATTCATATAAAATGCAATAAAAAGTTAGCAATTTGATATGATAACATAATAAACAAATACTGCAATGAGAAAAAAAAAAGAAAGAAAAATGGAAAAAGCCCTGCAGATAAAAGTATAAAGATGAATTTTGAGGAACCTAGGCTAACATCAGTAGTAGTGAGCATTGTTCGTCAAACTGCTGCCTCAATCAGTTTTCTGGCTCACAAACTGTTCTGAAAATTCTGCTCTCTTTCTCAGTTGTTCCTTGATTTTCATCATTTTGAAAAACCTTTTCCTCCTTTGCCCTGCCTGAACCCGTATCAGGCTTAAACTGAGGATTTTGCAGGTTTTTGTCTTCTGTGAAGAAGAACTCCAGCTTTTCGGAGAAATGGATATGTCAGGATTTCAGCTTTTATGCATTTACCAACCTGATGAAAAATAAACTATTTAAACGCATGTTATAACATTTATTCAGTTTGGGGTCTCTCAGTTAATACAGTGATAGAAGGATGTTATGAGGTAGCGTGGGGTCGTAGGTGTTCTTGTCTTTACTACCATTACCAGTGAAACAACAGGTAGAGATCATGTTCACTGATGATGTAATGAATTAAAGTTTATTTTGTGTTAAAATCCTTAAAGGCAAGTTATCCTGTCATGCAGCTGTCTTGGTACCTTGTTGTTTTAGGGTAACAAGACCAAGCTCTTCTGGATAGTGGATAGCTAACTAGTTCACCTACTAAATTGTCTTCCTTCTGCACTCACTGGCATATCATCTTGTGTTTACTGTGGTTGTCTGAAGGCATAAATGGGGGATATGCTGCAACTGGCAGCTGAAAAAAACCCCAATAACACTATTACATTGAAAAAATTATGTATTTCTCTGGGTTTAAACATTATTAGAAACATTTTGGGTAATGTAAGTACACAAGAAACAACATTGATCAATTGTTTCCTGACATTTTAATGTTCATTGTTGCATAAACCTTTAAATTCAACCTGTGTCAGTATACATCAGAACATGTGCCGGTATGGAGGGAGGGAAGAAGAGAACAATTCTACTGAGGAACCTGGTTGCTTTAATAGGTGACACTTTCATTATTTTGACTTAAGACTGAAGATTATCATCATAAAAAGTACGTTGTCTGCAGGTCAGAGCCACCTGCTCGCAGCGGCACACTCGACACATCAATCCGTCAAAGCACTGAGAGGGTATGCAGATGTGAAAATGATGGCACAATAACCTTGTGTCATCACACATGATAATGAGAACGCTTCAATCACTGCTGAGCAGAGTGACATTAGTTTGTTAACGGCTGTAGCACGGGGAGAACCGAAGAGACACTTTGGTCTGCGGGGAGGAAATGCTGCCATTAGTTCAATCACCGTGTGATAAATTCTAAACAAGACAGAAAAGACCAGGTACTAATCGCATACAGTAATCCATTAGTATTAATAGTGAACCATAAACTCTACATACAGTCTGTGCTGTGGCAATTTTTTTTGTTTGTTTTTACCTTTTGGGTGAAAATAGTTTCAGATATCTATCCATTATCTATACACCGATTAATCCTCACTAGGGTCGCGGGGGGGCTGGAGCCTATCACGGGGAGACCTACCCACTTACGGACAATTTAGAAACACCAATTAACCTCAACATGTTTTTGGACTGTGTGGGAGGAAGCTGGAGAGCCTGGAGAGAACCCACACTGCACAGGGAGAACATGCGCAGAAAGATCCTGGGCGTCCTCACCGGGATGCAAACCGGCGACCTTCTAGCTGCAAGGCGACGGTGCTAACCACCGGGTCACCGTGCAGCCCTAGTTTCAGACAGTAATTTTGAAAACCTAAGATGCTAAGAGAGTGAAAATGAACACTCTTTGCATGGGTAGATAATGAAACTTAAAAGTAGAAACGTGCATTTTTTGGGACGCCCTTTCAGATGTCTGTTGGGTTAAAGAGTGTTAATACACACTTGTTCCCTGTGTTTGTGACACATGAATCTGTGTGCAAATCTGACTCCAGCTGCATGGTGACGTATCCATGATATTGGTTTTGTCCCTCACAAGATACTACTGATACGTGCATATCCTCCTACAGTATCGTAAAATCTATTAGACCAAACAAAACTGTGACTCTGCAGCGCTGAAAGCATCCTCTGTGTTTGTCTACTTAAAAGCCAGTCGCTGTCACTGATCCATAATTTGTATCAGACAGTCAACAGTACGTTCAGATTCCTCTCGACACCCCCCATTGATCCGTCTTAAAGTTTGGAACAGCATCACAACAGTTTGTTTTCGTCAATAGAAAAAAAAGGAAAAACAAAAAAGCGTTTGGTACTCCGCTGTGAGAAGATGTAAAGAATGTTTGAGCTCTGCTGGGATTAAAAGGCTGCTATCAAACTGGGTGTTAAATGCAAATTTAGGATTATGAGAGGCTCCTTTGCATAAAACAAGGTCTGGTATTGTTCCATTTTTCATTTAGCAATATTTACTGTTGGAAGATAAACGCAGTGCAACAAAGGATTAAAAAGGAAATTGCTAACTCGCTTTGTATTGTGGTGTATTTTAATATCTGAGTCAAACCTTTAAAATTGTAAAACATGCTGGATCACTGAATTAATTTAAGGGCATTAATGACAATTTCAAGGCGTGTAAATAGTTAAAATAACACATAGCATTCCCAGTCCTGAATTTATAGTTGCTGCCAAACAAAAAACAGATAAAAGCAGTGAGATTTGAACCATTCAGAGGAGAGTGTGTGTATATATGTGTGAGTATTATGTCATTTATCAGCTGAATGAACTCCCATTCTCCATATATATTTATTGTGAGCTCCATATCTCTTTTTTTCTTCCCTCCTTGAAGTGTCACACAGCCCCAGTTTCCCGTGCTGATGTACCATCTATCACCCTCCTCACAGTCACATGCTTAAATATGTTTATCATTACACCTCTGATGCCTTCTCCCTCCCTAATGCTATGCAGCTCGAGGCTTCATGTGTGATTAACGGTGCCGCTTCTTCACACACTTCAGCGTTTTGTTGAGCTCTCTGATTCCAGGCTCTGTTCAATAAGCCTCTTTATGACCAAGAAACAGCCGATGTGTGGTTGCAGAAAAATGTTCTATCTGTGCTCCTTTGCTCTTATTTTTTCTGCCCTTTTTGTGCTGTTACAGGAAGAACCTTGCTACGAGATTGCATTAAGTATTCCGAATGCTGCTAGTGAGCTGAGGCAAGGACGTTTCTCTGTGCAAAGTTGATTAGAAAGCCGTATTATGTTGTGTTGCAACCTAAGAAAATATCCCTGGAGAAAGAGAGCCTGTGTCTCCCAGCTACTGAAGGCTGAAGCAACCCTCTCTGGGCTGGATGTAAGCGAGCACGCACGGAAATCGTGCAGAGACGTCTGCATCGTGATTTCTCTTATTCTTAAACCTACAGCTTGTTTAGCGATTCTTTTTCTTCTCTGTTTTAAAACTGCCAATGAACAGGAAGCGTTCTTAACACATAGCTCCTCACAAGGCATTTTTAAGATTTGGGAAATGTCCTCTGCAGCCTACAATTACCCATAAAATCCCCTTTTTTGAGTAGGATCATATGATGTTTACATACACTTAAACAGAAGTGCAGTTCTCAGGTGTCATGAAGTACATGTCTCCGTAATATACTTGTAGAAAATATATTCCATCTCCAGGAACCCAGCCTTTTCTGCTTTTCCAGAAACTCCCAGTGATAATTTAGAGCTGAAAATGTGTCTTTCAACTCTTTTTTTCTACAAATTTTCTTATCCTTTTATGCCTTAGTTAGAGAAATGACAAGAAGAAAGAAAAGTTTGGGGAATGACCTGAAACAAACTGACTGGGCAGGAGTTGGGAACATGGCGGCTTGTAAGCAGTGCTTAGGAACCCTTCATAATGCCAAAATTGTGTGTTTGCATAGATGTAAATAACAATTCTATGGGAAAAAATCTTGATTTGTCAAACAAATTGGCAAAACAAATGAACAACAACCGTTCAATCACTCCGTTACAGTAACTGTCCCAAACATCTGCAGTGTCAGACGAGCTGTTCATAGCTTGGGGGTTGCAAGGTGGCTCAGTGGTTAGAACCGTCGCCTCGCTTTTTCGCGTCCCGGTGAGAACACCTGGGATCTTTCTGCGAGTCTCCATGTTCTCCCCGTGCAGCGTGGGTTCTCTCCGGGTTCTCCGGCTTCCTCCCAAACAGTCCAAAAACACATTGAGGTTAATTGGTGATTGTAAATTGTCCGTAGGTGTGAATGTGAGTGTGCTTGGTTGTCTGTCTCTAAGTGTAGCCCTGTGATAGACTGGTTACCTGTCCAGGTGAACCTGCCTTCACCCTGAGTCAGCTGGGAGAGACTCCAGCCCCCCATGACCCTAGTGAGGATTAAGATGTAGAGATGATGGATGGATGGAAGCACATTTTACTTTCCTTTAAAGATTTCTCTAAGACTCCACCAGGGGCAGTTGAGCTACCTGCTAGGAGCATCTACTGAAGTGAACTCTCCCTTTGAGCTGGATGTTGTTTCTTTTGTGTCCATTAAACTAACACAACCAAGTTAGTCTACTTTTCTCTCTTTTCTCCATTTGTGATCTGCAGCTACTGGGTTTGATTTTAAGAAAGTGGCATGGGATTATTTAGTAATGTATTTTATGCAGTTTTTTGTGATATATGTAATATGTGGACATGCAGAACCTTCACACATCCACGATGCTGTGGTTGCTAGAGCGAGACTACATTTCCATTCCATCCACGAGGTTACAAACTTTGAAGAAAAGTTTACTCATTCAGAGTGTAATCTGCAAAGTCAATGTCAGGCTATCCTTGGAGACAGTTTGAGGATAACATAAATGAGATTTGAGCACTAAGTATGGTCCTATGCACAACAACAATCACACACCAACTTAGTGGAGTATCTGTTATAGTCCTAGAAAATCCTGTCTGTATCGAGGCTGATCCCACAACCGATGACTCAATTTCAAATACGCCAACTTCTTCAGATAATTCATGAAGGGAGAATATTTATGGTGAAGTGGATGCATATTTCAGGTGGAGTGGTAGCTTGTGTGAGAAGATTTTATGGTTCGAGCCTCTGCACTGTCGAACACCTGAGCTGGATATTAACGAGTTGTGCTTGAAGTTTTCTTGAGTGGGGTTTGGATTTAAACGACATGGTCCAGAGTAATTTGAAGATAAGATAATGAAACTTAAATCAACCTGTGTTATGTAGTGAAAACTTTGTTGCTTAAGGGGATCGAATAAGGCAGTGAGAAATACTAGTGGAAAACTATAAGGCTTACATGCAAAATAACCCCAGTCGACCCGGTTAAGAAAAAGAAGGACAAGAAAAATGCGGAACAGGAGTGAGCTTTTTTTTTTGTTTGTTTTTTGCCAAGTGCAGCGACCGTGTACAGCATCTCAAACTCTGATTTTCACAGTGAAGCTGCCAGGTTTGGTACCACTGTGCTCATACCAAAACTAAAATCTGTGCTCGCTGACAATATCCGACAGTGAACACATGTTACACCCGGAGACGCTGCACAGAAGTGATGCGTGGATGAATAAACTACTGCTGACCAAGAAGTGGCTACGAGCCGGAAATCCTAAAATGTTTTATTTGCTTGTTAAACCGTACAAGTGGGACTGTTTTATTTAAGGTGTCTCCTTCTTTTCTGCTTAGAGAATAATAAATACCTGTAGGTTTGAGTTGTATGTTCGGGCTTTGTTACTCTTGCCATGCTCAGTTTATCCATTTGTTGCACTGCAGCAAGATTATTTCAGCGAATTAATTAGGTTACATTTTTAACCCCCAGCCCAAAATATTTAGTAGGCAAATTATTTCCTTAGGGCGTATATTTAATCAGCAGTTATTTTAATGGAGAGCTTCGTCCGGAAGCAGCTGCACAGAGATGCGTGTTTAATGATATGCAGCCTTCTCGGTCGGTAAATTGGTAAAGAAGCCTGTTGAAGGGCGACTAGCTTTGTGAAAAAAAAGGCCTTTTTGGGTTGGTTGGTTTGTTTTTTTTTGTGTGTGTGTTTGTGTGACCTCTGTGACACGTCGCACGTAGCGGCGGCATTCTTCAGCCCTGCCTGAACCGTAGTGCATCAGGGTAAATGATGCTGTGCCCTTGAAAAGGCCTGTGTGATAATCCAAGATTAGTGTGTCTGTGTGTGTGTGTGCAGAGAGGAAATGAGGATGCATGCGGGATATTTGTGTGTCGGAGTGTGGGTAAAAATAGTTTGTGTGTGTCTATTCATGCAGCATGTATGTCGATATGAAGCAAATCCTGACATTTGATAAATGGAAACCAGCTAATGTTCAACTAATGTTTTGTTGATCGATACTTTCATTCACTACACACTTGTCTGCTTTCATTTGCTTTGCGTCGCTGTTTGTCAGACTGTGTCCCTTCTGGCTTTACCTCTGTCGTCTGGTGTAATAGGATTTTATGTTTTCGTGCTTTAACTGCCTGTGCAAACTGTCAATTGTGTTTTATATCAGTTGTTTGCATCGTATGCGCTTTACTTTACATGCTGCTGCCGGCGCCGTTCTTTTAAGCTTTTAACCTTGTTTTTGTTTGCTTTGCTCCCGTCGTGTTGTTTTTGTGGCTAATTCAACGTCTGGCTAAGGGACAGCAGTTCCAAATTTGCCTTTTGGCTAACGCGGGTGCATTTACAGTGATTTGATTTATGTGTATTGCCCCTCGAAAAAATAAAAACATTAAAAAAAACAAAAAAAACAGACAATTGACTTGTCACTTAAGTGAGTAATTGGTGGCACTAATTCATAGGTGGTGAGAGCATATATTTATCTGTGTTTTTGTGTTTGTCAGTGCCCATGTTTGGCAACACGACTGACTGTGCCTCCGACTGGTTCTTTTTTAACAAAGCGAGCCAGTAAATAGCATCAGATTTCTGACTCTCAGTGTTTATTTTCTTCATATTCTTACTTTCTGTTTCAAATGTCTTCATCTCTGTGACATAGAGGCAGAGTTCATTTGTATGCAGATGTCCTCAGCAAACTGTATTTTTCACAATACCATCTGCTGGTGTTACACATATGAAGAAATCTGATGTTCTGTATCCAGGGTTAAAGCGACACAGATGGATTTTAAAATGGTGCCTATTGAATGGAACCGAATGACGGGACATTCAGTTCCTTCATTCATCCGCACAGTTGGTCCAAGTGAACACTGAGAATACGTGGAGAGACTGTTGTTCAGATTATTGTTGTGTTCTTAAACCCCTGTTTCCTGATGCATCATGACGGTTTTTATAGATCAGTCTGACGTATGAAGATCAGTCGCTTCACCGCCTTAAAATTGATTTGTAATGACTTGTGCTCACAGGGTTAATGATTGTAATAAAACATTGATCACAGGGATCCTAGAAGGCAGTGCGAGACATGCATCTCTCTCTCTGCATGTTATTCTTTGCTCTGCACCAGCTTTTATGTTAATCTGACAGGATTTCAGACTTGTGACATGTTGAAGAGAAATGGAAATGATGCTAGTTGTTGGCACTTTTACCTGAAAGTGTAATATTTATACTTCCTATCTAATAAAAGGTGAGCCCTGCTTAGTTAATTCTACGAGTTCCACTTTGATTTAAAACCGGTGGAGCAAATGTTTTCCATTTCTTGTCAACACATGCAAATTTGAGTTCTGAGCATCCACACTATGGTCCCCTCTTTATCAGAAAAAACAACCTGGATTATGCATTTTACTAATTTTTCTCTTCCAAAATAACACAACAGCTATTTTGAATCTTCATTTCAGAATTGCTTGGATCATTATATATTTTTACCAACATCTAATAAGTGGCTTACTTAGTATTAAAACCAGGGTTGCAAACCCTCTTCACTGAAGTGGTCGAAGTATTTAGTCAGAATCTTTGTTAACATTCATAAATGTTCCTGAAGGGCTGCATGGTCACATCAAGAATTCCTTTCATTTGGAGATCCCTTCTTGGAAATGTGTTTTTATAAGATGAAAGAACACAGAACTGACAAAAAAGAAAAATCTGTATTATTTCATAAAAGCCTCTAGGGGCTTGTCAGACAGTGTATTCATCTGTGTGTGTGTGTGTGTGTGTGTGTGTGTGTGTGTGTCTCCTTCTCTTTGAGGTGGGAGGGATGAGCAGGAGGGTCTTGCAGCCGTCAGAAGGATCTGTGAGCAGTACAAAGAGGCCAAAGGTAACATTGCAAACATATTAAACACACACACGCAGACACAAGCGCTCGTACACAAGTGTGCTTGTTTTAGCATGCCAGTGTTTGAAGATAAAGGGCAGAGCTGCAGCAGTCTGTCCCTCAGGCTTGTTTTAACACTCTTTACCAAGCACACACATATAATTGCACACTTGCTGGTATATATACACACACACAGAGATACACACAGTGCCGGATATACAATGTCTGGAGTGCTGTTGATGCACTATGAGAGAGAGGATGATAACAGAAAAACTACTATGAGAAGGTGAAGGAGGGTGAGATAAAAAAAACAACAAAAAAACAAAGCCAGACTCAGCTAACACTGGTCAAAATGCAGGATGCACTTTGGGCAGGTCGCCAGTTCATCACAGACAACATTCGTGGCCACATGCACAAAATAATTTGACCTGCATGCATGTCTTTTTGGACTGTGGGAGGAAGCTGGAGCACCTGAAGGATGCAAACTCCACCACAACAGAAAGACGAGCAGGTTCAAATCCTGAACCTCCTTAAACAGAATTTAAGAGAGTAGAGGGTGACATGTAGAGGCAGAGGGACAGAGGAACACATGACAAATGCATAAATACTAGACAATAAACGGGGATAAAGCGAGAGGAGGCGGGAAAAGAATGGACGCTCGGAGGAGGTGACGGGGATGAGAGGGGACAAGCGCTGGCAGAGATTTATCACTCCATCGACTAAAGCTTACAGTGTTCTGTGTAACTCCAGTGTTGAGAAATTGATTCGGCCGACCTTCGCAGCCACATAAATTCCACCACAGTGTCATGACTAAAAAGCCTCATATTCTTTTCTGTGCCAAGTGGCCTTGAGTTTTTACCACCTTGTAAGATGTGTCAGCGGTTGTTTACCTGCGGGGGCGTTCAGAGATTCGTGCTCATGCGAAAACCAGATTTCAGCGACGGGCAGTTCTTTGAAATTTGGGTTCTCGCCAAGACGACATTTCATACACAGCTATACTATAATATTCTATCATTACATTTGTTTCATTTTTAGACAATAATTTAGATGATTTTCTATATTTTTCTTGATGTCTACTAATTTTGTGTTGATCCTACTAAGAAGTAATGTTCCAAAATCCGACTTTGTGTTGTTGAAAGCTATCAAAAACAAGTCCTGTAGAGCCCTGCCAATGCACTGGATAACATTTTTCTTCATTTCAAAAACAGTTAATAAAAAGCAGACCCTGTAGTTTCTTAATAAACAGCGAACACACAGAAAAACAACCGCGATCCACAGAGATTTTAAAAGACACCCAGCAGCACTGTAGGGCTGGCGCTATCAGAAATCACTGCATGTAGAGTAGAGTATGTAAATTACGTGCTCGGTGCAACACACAAACAGAAACACAGCTTCAAAAAACAGAAACGGCCTCCTGTTTCGTATGTAGCGTAACACTGAGTGGTAGCAGGAATTCCCATTTACAAATAAGCAAGCCTGCGCACACAGCAGGAGGTTAGAAAACTCACCAGCACAATACCATTGTAGCTTAAATAATGATGTGTTCAGTGTTTGGAAATAAAGCAACTTGCTGGTCAATAGTGAAGTAGCTGTTTAAATGTGTATTTGTATGCAACAGTCATCCTTGCATGTCTAAAACGTTTTTATCCCACACCATCTCCGATATACATCTGCCGGCTCTTGCTTGCGGTGAGAAACAGCAGCTGGTCGCGATGATAATGTCAACACAGACTGCACAAAGTTATCTCTACAGGTGGTGAGGAATGAACAGTGTGGGTTTGAATGAATCAACGGATAGCGTGGACTGAAACAAAACATTCCTCCTGAACGCGAGCAACATTAACATAAAAGTAGTGAGTTAAATACCTGCTGTCCGACTCCTGCGTGGTGTAGTTCTTTCTGGTTGTTATAGCGGTAACGTTACCATTTATGCAAATCCTGCTGTTTCCTCATAATGCACCAAACTCTGGAAGTGTAGTCTCATTAGTAATATATTTATGTATGAGCATAGCAACAATATATTGTCATTTGAAAGGCACCAGACTTCGCTCCCATACCACCAGGATTCAGAGTTGTGATCACTGAACCTGACAAATGTTTGATAAATTGCTTTTGCCCTTTCTCACCCCAAAGCAGGGGGCTTATTCCTCCAGTTTCAGCGCAAAACAGAATGATAAATATTTTACGCTCATGACTTTGTGTGAATTTGTGCACAAAAACCTAGAAGCTCCCATTGATTCTGATTCTCCTGGGTGCCATTGGTGAGCTCCTGTACGGTCAGATCTGTGTTTGCCTTGATGGGAGGCAGTAAGCGATGATATTGTTCATGGTTTCGTTTTAGAAATGATGGATGACTAAACTCACATTAATAGGGTAATGGATTGTGACTCAATAATCTGAACTTTAACAATCCTAAACCTTGCTATCCGACAGGTTTTTAGGAAAAACAAACGGAACCCATAAAAACAGCCTTAACATACCGACAGCCTTGGATTCTGACTCCGACATGACATTTTATGTCACAAACGAGGATAACGGCGTATTATCTGACTGAACAATCCCACAGATTGGCTACGTTCACACTGCAGGACTTGATGCTCAATGAGGATTTTTTTGTGAAATCAAATTTTTTTGCGAGTTCCTTCACATTTCCAATTAAATGCGACGTGTATGTGATCTGCTGTGTGAACTTCATACGACCCAAAAGTGTCCCGCATGTGCAGAAGAGGTATATATGCTATTCGGACTAGCCCTAGTTTGTCGTGTATCGGTGACGTGTAGGTCGGATAAGTGCGACCTGGCCGTTCAGACTGAAGTCGCATTGCAAAAGATCAGATACTTTTTGGATTTAGGACTCTTACTTTTGATGTCAACCGACAGGTCCGTGCACAAGCACACCGGTCAGTTAGGCATGTAATCCAGTGATGCGTGGTGTTCTAACAATACACTAGTTATTATAACAACTATAAACAATAAATATTAACAACAAATGAGCCTTCAAGCATCAAGCCCTCCTTGTATCTCGACCTCCGTCTTGACAATCCGACATAAAAGAAGGTTTTACATTTAGTGTCGGACTATCGAGTCACGACTGTACTTCATTTGGTTCAGTATAATACAGTTGTTTGTTCAAGACTTTCAGTATTTTATGATAGACGTACACACTTTTTCTGATGTCAGTTTTGACCAACAAGCTTTTCCACTTGCTTCTTTTTTGATTTCAGCGAAACCTTAATTTGAGTTTCGATGCAGCTTTTCAGAATAACGGCACCCGTCCGCACGTTACCTGCACAAGAACCGGCTATTATCATTTATTTTTGCCATAATTTGGTTTTGCTGTTAATTTTCTTCTCTCCAAAATATACTGACTTCTTCTGTTGTAATTGGAAATTGTTTTATCACTAGAGGAAGGTTTTCATTTCATTAACTGAACCTGGAAATTTTGCTCTGCTTAATTAGAAAGTGAAAAAAAAGTAAAGGCCCCGACCTTGTATCTGGTAATTACAGATGACTTGTGTGAATGTTTTGTGTGCAAAATGCTGCACAAAGTCGAAGAGGAGTATTTATAGGCCATTCCATGAGACAACATATGTTTACAGTCAAGTGACGAAGCCCTTTATTGGCAGTTGTGCAGAAATCAAGTGACCTCACGGCTAATTATGCGCAGGGAGGAGGTCGGAGTGGGTGGATGGGTCAGCAAAACATTCAGCTTCAATGCGGCAGATTTCCATTTCCAACCAACCATCAGTGCAGTTTTTTTGTTCACAATAGTCACTAGTTGTGTAACTATGAGGACTAATATTCTCCAACCTTAACAGAACACCTATTTCAACCATGATCTTTCCCCAGACCTAACCAATTTGCCTTTGTGCCCAACCAACCAATTCTTAACCACAGCACGTCACGCCACAAAACAGATTCATTTTTCAACAGTCTTTGGGAGGCACAGACAAATTACGGCGCCTTTTTGATCAGGGCATCGGATCAGAAAACACTAGTAATTGTTGCTGTAGAGGACATATTTTGGACACCAAAACTAACACGTCTAGGAAGTCAACATCCAGTGAATAAAACATTAATTGTCAGATATTAGCTCCAACTGCATATTTTAATGTGCTAGAAGTTCTTATTGGTGGCTATAGGTTAAGTACAATATTAAATCTTGTGCTGCCAATTGGCAAGCAAGCTGTGCTTTATCTTGCCTGGCCTTGCAGTGGAAAGCGGCAGAAGGCTGGCTGACTGGGTCCCTGCTTGTGTGTAAATGGCTGTCAGGTACAAAGACAGCGGCCATGTAGCTGGTGTCATTGAAGTCGATTTCCCTGGATGGGGCCGTGGTGGAATTGATTACTTCTTTTGTAATTGGCAGGCACTGAGGCATAGGGGACAAGGGGGTGTCTGTAGCCAGATGCTTGTGCACTGAATGACAATGTGTTGATGCGTGTGTGTGTTTGAGTGTGTTTGAATGAGACAGTAATGGATTCTCATTAGTATGTGAGGCAGGAGCTTTAAACATCTCTGTCCAAACGCCCTTTGGCATCCTTCCCAGTGTGTGTACATTTGTCTGTTATGAGAAATGGGAGACAGCTCATAATATACACGTCGGCTACAGAGGTGGCTCTTAAACCGGAGACTTGGGTGGACAATTGTAGAGGTCCCTGGGGGGATTTCAAGGTGCCACCAGTGACAAAGAATTTCATTTTTTTTACTAAAAAGTAATATATTTTATAAAATAGAAAAGAAGGAACTTCATTGGAGCCACTTTGAACACTTAGAGGGATTTTGTGTTTCATCATTTTTCAACCTCAATCTTATTCTCTCAGTTTAAACTGCGATTTAACGTTTGTCTTTAGGTTAAACCTGATGTAACCACTGAAATTGTTCTCTTGATTAGCTACGGTAGCGAACTGCACAGGGATCTTCATGCTCAACCACAACATTAAAACCACCTGCCTAATATAGTTCCCCTCAGAGCTGGCGGTGTCCTGTGGTGTCTGTGGATCCAG